GCTAGTCTTTCACGATAAACATTTTTATTTAATTCATCTAGTTTTATTTACGTCACTTTATATACTTTCGTTCACAATACATGCTCACAAAATGACCTGGACATGTGACGTCTGACACTAAGCTAGTCCGAAGCAGTGATATTCTAAAATCGAGCTATCTGCACGGATTATATTACTATATCTATATTCGTTTGTTTCCATAAGGGGGACATTTTTGTTTCTCTCTCCGATTCTATTTTGCGGACATTTTTTTCCTCCAATTAAGAAAAAACATCCGCAATCAGGAAGACACGGAAGTACTCGTCCTTTCCAACGTTATAAGGCTCACAATAAAAATAGACGCCATCTATCATAAATCCATTTGTAATTAAGTAATAACAAAACCACAATGTAAATGACCTATATTCTTGGTGAAGTGCGTATAAAACAAATTTTCAGATCTCTAGTAGATATAATGATCGAGATCGAGTGGTATGGAGATTTTAATCTCCTACTATAACTAACATTTCTATATTTGAAGATTTCTACTCTATTTATCGACCTGAAGCTACGTAATAGAGTTGAGCAAGTACAAGTATATACTCGTAATCGTACTCAAAGATAATATTTAGATAACTCGCAGTCGTTTTACCCTACCTCTGTGCTATCGATATTTATGTCAAATAAATTTTATTATGTCTTTCTAAGAAAAAATATTTCTTCTATCTTAAATTGAATTCTTTCTATTGTTTAAAGATCCTCGACGATATCCATTCAAAGTTCTCATACAACAACCTTATCCACTTGTTAATGTTGATATACATTTGTTAAGTATGTAATTTGAAAACAACGAAAGAAAGAAAGAAGAATTCAAATAATAATTTATTTTCTAATAAAATAGTTGATCTTCCTCATATTGCATATGTACATGTGACAATAAATAATATGGAAGTTCCAATACAAGCAGCTCGTAGAAATGATGATACATTTATTCTTAAATTTCGACCAACTATTGCAGGAGATTATTCAATTATATTAAAAGATTATATTGAACAACCAATTCCAGGTAAAATGAATTCAAAAAACAAAATTAATTAGAAAATTTTTATTCTCGTTAGGTTGTCCATTTATATTTCCTGTCTATAATCCAAATGTTGTTCATATCGAATCATTTAATCGTTTACAAACAATAAATGATTGTCATTTGATTTGTAAATAATTGCAAAAAAAAAACAAACTTTTTATTCTCTTAATTTATTAAATTCTAATTGTTTTAGGTAATGTTGATCAAGCTGGACCAGGAAAACTTTTCGTTATGGTTTATTCTCAAATTGATGAAAATCAATTTGAACCAACATTAATTCCAATACAAATTCATCCTCTTCCATCAAATCATATACGTATTTCATTATTTCCATTAAAAGTTGGAATCTATCGAATTTATATTGCCTATCGAAATATACCAATTAATGGTAAGTAATCATTATGATTATTTGTCTAAATATGTCATCAAAAGATAATATATATAATGATGATTGATCAAAAACAAAGAAAAAATTGATATGAATATGAATTGAACATATATTATAAACAAAAAAGAAATTTCTAATTGATGTTGATCGATTAGTTAAGCAAACACATTTTACTATAGACAAATTATATGTCTATAGAATATTTGATTATATATATGAAATAAAATGCCTACAATGGCTTGACTAATTCAAAAATTGAACTTTTTCTATTCTTTTCATTTTTTTTTTTGTGTTCGTTGTGAAGAAGAACTTTTATATGTATGCGCCACAATGCAAAATAGACAAAATGATTGAGAGGAAGTAATAAACGAAATGATTGATCTCATTTTGACCATCGTATAAAAATGAGAAAGTAGAGAAAAGTAACGAAAAGCGAACATCCATAATTTCCTTGCCCTTTTTTTGCTCTTGTGTGATTGTGCATGTATATGTGTATAGGTATCAAATGTATGTTGCTCACTCATGCATTCACTTTTGTTCGATTAATCGAACGCAACAAACCACTTTTTTTTCTTTTTATTCTTTTCTCTTTCGTCCAAGCTACAAGTAATCTGACGAGGAAAGAAGACACCTGTATGAATGAATATAGGTATACCTACGCTTTCATATAGTTTCGTCATTTTTTGTATGGTATAGTGGCTAATTAAAAACGACAACTTGCTTCTCATAGCTATCATTCATTCTTTCTGAATAATTGTACCATCGTTATTGGTAAGCGACAACAGCTATACATTAAAACAAACAACAAGAACAAAAAAAAAAGAAAGAAACAATGAATAATGGAATTGAAGAACATTTAAGTAAATCTCGCACAACCTATAGAAATCTTCATCATCCACCAAATCAAACAATAACGCCATCAAGAGCTAAATTAGAAAATAAAATACCTCCAAGTGACGATAGTGATGATGATACAACATTACCAACATTTGTTAATCAATTTTTTTTTCCTAAAAATACAATAAAAAATGTTTCACCACCACCACCACCCTCATCATCATCATCATCAAATGATACAGGAATGTTTCGTGCTATACGTGGTCAAGTTATAATTCATCATGATCATGAACGATCATCGAAAGTTCAATGTGAAGAACCTCGAAATAGCGTTGAAAATGGTCACAATCACGAAGAAGAAGACGAAGAAGAAGAAGAAGAAGAAGAACTTGAAAATCTTTCAATAAATCGTACAAATGGTGGAAATTATGAATTACATTATGATGTTGATAATCCTCTTGAAATTTCTTGTTCAATGTCACTTTCATCAGCTGAAACTATTTCTGATCATTCTCCATCACCTGTACGTCATACATCATCAATTAATATTGATGGAAATAATAAATCGAATTTTAAACATGAACATACACCTATTGAACTATCAGATGATAGTGATGATAATGATGATGATGATGATGATAATGATGATGATAATAATGATGATGATGATGGTGGCGGCGGAAGAGGTGATGATACACCCTCATCAATCTTAAGTGATATTGATTATCAAGAAAAAGAGTTAATTAATCATGATAATATAAAAGAACAAGATGAAAAATTACGAACATTTCGTGGTTGGCATTTATCAATGCTTAAACAAATTGATGAAAAACTACGAGAAATTGAACTTGAAACAGTATCAAATACAACTAAAACAATATCAATTCGAAAAGATAAAAATTCTACTGAAAAATCTTCAACAAAGAAGAAAAAAGTTTTTCGTCCAACTATTCGTCGACGTTTTGAAACAACAAATATTAAACGTCATAATTCACCTATACCACAAGTGAAAATTAATTCACATCGTTCATTAACACCATCTGTAGAAAAAGAATCACGTACACTTATTATTAATTTACCACCATCATCTTCATCATCATCATCATCATCATCACCATCAGATAATGAACAAAATTTTCCGCCAGCACCATCAGAACCAATACATATTCGTATTGTTCAAAGTCCTATTCATCAAGCACGTCAACGTGCACAAAGTACTGAACCATTAATTTTACGTGATCAAGGTGCACAAACTGAACCATTTCATGTGTCAAATAATAATATTAATCATCGACCTGCACGTCCAGCTAGTATTGAATGTGATCGTCTACAATCAACACGTTCATTAACACTTACACAAAGAAATCAATTTTTTCAACAATATCGACAACAGCAACAACAACAACAACAACAACAACAACAACAACAACAAAGTCAGCATCCAGGTGAACAAATTAAATTCTATAGTTTACGTAGTAGAAATGTTCAACCAAGACCAAGTATTGTTACACAAGCACCTGTGTCAATATCGCAATTACAAACAACAAGACCATTTTTTTTTCCTAAACGACCAATATCTACGGAACGACAAGTTAAATCTCCATCGTCAAATTATCAACCAATTGCGACCGCTGATCCATCTGTATATTCAGATGATTATGGACACGTAACACAAATGAATACAAAAAACTTAGGAACATTAGTTGATAAAGTTTTTGATGATATTTATCAAGATAAACCATCAGATTTCTATCGAGATTATAAACAACTTTTAAATGATATACAAATACGATTTAGTATGGTACCTTCAGTAGAACAGCCATCTGCTATTCATCATCCTGTGCATCCTCCTCCACCTCCACCTATTCATCGTCAATTACCACCACAACAAGTTTTTGTTGATTATTCTCGAATACCACAAACAACATCATCACAAGCTCAACTTTGTGACACACTCATTTATATTCCTAATCCTATTTGATTTTTGTGTGTGCGTGTGTGTGTATTTTCTTTTTTTTTATTTTAATATATCATGTATAATTCTTGTTAGGATTTGTTTTGTTTTCCTGATTGGATGTAAAAAGTGACAAGAACAAAAGTGATGTTGTTTTTTTTCTTTTTATCGAAAGAAAATGGGCATAGGAAATCTGTCATAGTGACTATAGTTTTTGTTTAAAATGCACTATGTCTATGATTATATCACTGATATTATATATGAATGCCTTTCTGTTTGACAGGTACGCCGATTGATGTGAACATATATGACATACAACGTATTTCGATTAACGCCGAACATAGTCAACCTGTCGTTGTGAGAACAACCGTTGCTTATAAAGGTAAATGCATATAGATAGATACAGTTTAATCAAGTTTTGAATTAAATGAGATTTTAACAAAATAAACAATGATTTTGAGATAAATATAGAAACCAATTTTTTTTTCTTCTTATTATCAATGATAAATGTTAATCGAATAACATTATTTTCATAGTTAATACAAGTCAAGCTGGTCAAGGTCAATTAAAAGTCGAACTGATTCAACCACAAAGTTCAAAAAATCCATGTCGATGTCATATACAAGAATTAAAACTTCATGAATATTTTATTCAATATGTTCCAATTGAACCTGGTCGTTATCAACTTCGTGTATTATTTAATAATCAACTTGTACAAGGAAAAACTCTTGATACTGATGTTTATCTTTCATTACCACAAACATCAAAAACAAATACATCATCATCAATTGCTCATATTCAACAAATTATTCCTAATAATATTCCAGAAATTGGTGATCATATTTGTTTACAAAGTAATATATATATAGTCTTTTCAATATAAAATAACTCAATTATTTTTCTTTATTCTTTAGTCAATACCGAAAATCCTTCAATATCATCGATTCAAAGTCAAATACTATACAATGGAATGTCTGTTCCACATAAAATTGAACGAACAAAAGATTTACATATTTGGCATTTGAAATTTCGACCTTATGTACCTGGTACCTATAGAATACAATTGGCTCATAATGGATTATCTTTAATAAGTAAGAAAAAAGAAAAATTGTTAGTAGACAGAATCTGAAAGTTACGAAACAGGATATTTCATTGATAACTACCCTTGAAATATGTAGTACATCCTAGGTGCGACAGATTTTTGTCTTTTACTATAAGGCAAATAAACCTTGAATTCAATCATCCATGACAGAAACATAATTAGCCTCTCGTTTCTTTACTTATCAATATATTTATCTTAGGCTCTCCATATATAATTCAAGTAAAAGATACTAGTGGAAGAGTAATTCTTTCCGGTCTTGAACAAACATTGTTAACAAATTCTCCGTGTGTAATACAAGGTAATTGAAAAGTTTTGTTTTTAAAAAAACAAAAATGATGATTGTAATATATATTAGTTCATGCTGAATCAGCATCGAATGCACAAATAAGAGTAATTGTTCTTCTTGGTAATCGTCAAATTCCATCAACAACAACTATTATTAATGATAATCTTGTTCGAATTCATTTTATTCCACAAGAACCTGGAATTCATACTGTTCATGTGTCATGTGCTAATCAACCTATTGAAGGTATAGTTTTTGTTTTTTTTTAATGAAATTAAAATGATAATGAAAAAAACAAAAAAACAAATATATATTTTATTTTGAAATAGGATCACCATTTTCAATACGTGTTGAACGACCACGAGCCATTCAAATATCTGGTGAATGTTTTCATCGTTTACGTTTGAATGATCTTGGATTATTTCGTATTCATTGTCATGGACAACGAGGACCAATTCAAACAAAAATTTTTAGTAAACTAAATATTTTTTTTTTTTTATATTAATAATAATTTGTTTTATTTTCAAAGATCTTTCTGCTGGTGATCGTTATGATATTGGACAAACAATATCATTTCAATTACATGATACATATGAACAATTAATACAATTTTCAGCACAAATTTTATTAACATCATTTAATATTTTACTTGCAACAAGATTAAAAGTAATACAAGAACGAATACGTAATGTTACACTTAGCAAAGAAAATGGTTTGATTAATTAAATTTATTTATTTTTAATTTTGACTAATAATAATAATTATTTTTTTCTTCTTGTTTTGTTTCACAATAAGGACGTACAACCGTATCATTTCAATTATATGAAACTCCAACACAAACAACAACAAATGAACAAATTATACAAAATTTAAGACATTTAATTAATAATCAAATCTTAAATTTACACGATCCAAATCGTTGTATATTGAATACAATTATCGGATCAGTTGTTGTCGGTAGGAAAATAAATAAATAAATATTTTTTTTAATTACAATGATATTGGTGAGTGTATTATTCTAACAATTTAAATTAATATTTACTGCTCGAGACTATCATATAAATATTTGTTTTTGTTTTTTTAAAATTTTGCACAAATCTTATTCTTTTATATAGGTCCAAAAGGTGAACCAGTAAATGTAAAATTATTTCCACAAGCAAGTGGAGATTATACTGGTGAATTTACACCAACAAAAATTGGTAAATATAGATAAAGAGAAATTTTAATTATTGATAAGATTATTTATCTTTGCTCTTTACAAAGGTCAACATCGCATTGATATAACCTTTGCTAATATACCTGTACAAGGTAGTCCATTTTTTACAGAAGTTTATGATCCATCACAAGTACGTATTGGTCCGTTACCACGAGATATTATTGTTAATACAGAAAATACATTTGAAATTAATTTGGATAATGCTGGTAACGTACCATTAGAAATTAAAATTTCATCACCAACAGGTGTTAATGGTAAGATAAAGAAATAATGAAATCATGTACTTTTTTTCTTTTGTTTTTTGATTACGAATTTTATAAAATATTGAATTTAATCATGGACTAAGCAAATGTGTAGTGAACTTATACCTTGACATTGAAGTGAACTGAGTGATAAAATATTTCATATTGTTTAGTTTTATGAATGAAGGTGAAAATATTTGAAAATCTAGGTTGTTAGAATTAACTCAATGAATCGTGTCAATGACATTTATTGATTATAATCTAAATTATTGATAGTGACATTGTGCTCGAAACTATTTCTTATCTGATTAAATATGCATTAATATAAAGTCATATTTCAAATATGAACAATAACTATTCAGAATTTTGTTAACCTTCATAATATCGAATAAGATTCAAAGTTTCGATTCATCAGTGTAAAATAACTTTATTAATACAAAATATATATGTAAATAGTTGACTGAAATATAGAGTTTTGTAGAGGAAGATTAAAACTATTATTTGAAAAGAAAATAATTCAAATTTCATCAAAAATTTATCGTTCATTTATTAAACATGTCTAACCCTTTCCGGCCGGATGTTGCCATTTGGCAACAGCCGGCCGTAACGGGTCAAAAAGTTGAAAAAATTTTTTTTTTCAAATTTAAATCTAGTTTTTAGTGCCAAATTTCAAGTATGCTAGTCTTCAGAGTGTAATAACCGGGCAAGGATAGGTGCTTTGTGGGTTGAATGCAGATGTTAGTGTAGGTCTTTCATTTTTCTACACGCATATACATGTCCAAGCCAATTATTGTTTTGTATCTCCTTTCCGGAGAACTGTAAGTCTCGTGCACTGGAATTTTGTCACTAAAAGCGAAATTTAAATTTTGAAAAAGTTGCTTGAAGGAACTCTATGTATGTTTAAGTCATTCTTTTCTTGTTTCAATGTTTTTAATAACCGAAGAGGTACTGAATAATGCATCTTTATAATCGAAATCGAACAAAAATTTGTCGACCGATTTGACCCGTTACGGTCGGATGTTGCCAAATGGCAACATGCAGCTAATGGATACAAAAAAAAAATTTTATTCTGAAAAATATATTTTTGGTATTACTATGGTAGAGCAACAAAAAATATTCAAGACAACATTTTCTTGCTGTCTGTCTTCTGGGAGCCGGCTGAAAAGGATTAAATAGTTTATTTGAATTTCTTTCAAATATCTTCAGTAGAAAAAGTTTGATAGAAGTAATAGTTTTGAATGTGTTGAGTAAGAAGAACTTAATGCTGAATCAACAAACAACTGTAGATGATGCAGCTTTCCAAACTTAACTATAGCTTTCTGGATACTTTGTTTTATTCACATGACTTTTCCACTGTTACTTACATCATGAATACTATACGATGATCTATTACAACTCTAATCAAAAGCAAGACAAAAATATGTCTCATTTAAAATTGAATGAAGAAAAAATGGGGGATAGCTCGTTCCATGCTATGCATTTAAATGCGATTCTTGTAATTTTTTGAACTCCCTCTTGGTGACTAGAAAGCTTAAAAGATTAGTACAAAAAATACTAAGTTGTGAACATCACGATCAGCAGCATTTCGATCATTTAGCTTCTTAGTTGTTCAAGTTCCGCCGATCACTTTAATCCTATAGCACAGACTCTTAATTCCGTAGACTAAGACACATGCCTTTATCTCCCTATTACTATGAATCTGCTCGGGTGTGAGGTGTGGGTGTCGCTGTGACTGAGTAGGCATGGTTGATTTTTAAGCAAATAATTTTGTTAGTAAATTTTATTTCATGACAGTATTGTATAACTAAGCAAACAAAAATAAGCGCCATTTTTGAATAAAATTTACTTGTGTTGAACAAGAAATTTATGAACCATCCAACTTTACTGGCATACCGTTCGTTATATAAAATTTTTGATGAAATATTTGAAAAAACCTTTCTCATCTTTTTCAGGCAGTACTGTATGGATACATTGTCATCGAATATTGGTAAACAAACAACTAGATTAATTTTCAATGAATATATCGAAATTCCATTTATATTTGATCTTCGATTTCCATGTTCAATAAAAGAGTTTGAAATTATCCATAATATACATAATAATTTATCACATGGAGAAGTTGAAATGACAATTGAAGATCAAGCATACACAAAATTAAAACAAAATAGTTTTTATAAAAACTATTTTGAAGATTCAATAATTAATAATCAATATTTATTTGAGCAATATTACCGTGATCAATTAACTATACTTTTAATTGACTGTAAAATTCAGTTAGATATTGAATTCGTTTTTTCACTTGTCTATAATAAAAATTCTATGAAAACGTCGACTGATCGAATTAAATATTATTTAGTTTATCATGATGAATTAAAGAAATTATTAAAAATACTTAATTATGGTTTCGAAGTGTTAAAAGATGATATTAACAAGACGTTATTCGATATAGAAAATGTTCTTAATCCTGGTTGTTTTCCCTTAAAAACAAATGGTTATTATAAGTTGATTATAGCAGATAACGTAATCTATCAAATCCCACCAAATACAGTAATAGATAATGCTGAAGGTTTATCTAAAAAATTCTTATTTGAATGTGATGGTGAACCATTCGTTGAAAATTGCTTAATGAATCTTATTGAATTAATAATCACACCAAAATATATTCAAGATATAAACAACATTCAAAATATATTAATGATCTATGCACGGATGAGTCTTGAAATATCCAGTCTTAGACGATATACTGTTGACAATTTAGAAAAATTAAGACCAATAATAAATTTATTAACTTCCATTTTGGCACTTTATGATGAACCGTCGAAAGTTTTTCAAATGATTATGACAAAGTACATAACAACTAATCATCTCAATACATGTACAAGTATTGACGCATGTATAAATCATCTAAAAACATTAAAGAATTTCAAAATTGGCCTTGATAAAAATGCAATCAATAAAATATTATCAAAATTAGAAATTGAGTTATTAAAAAATTGGTTGTACGATAATGATAATAATTATGCTGATCTGTTGAAAATATTAAATAACTCTAACAATGACTTATGGAGATATTCTGCTAAAATTTTAACATACTTCGAAAGGATGTTAGAATTTGCAATAATTAAGACAAATCATGGTCAGATTATAATTGATGGTCCATATAAACAATTGGAGCAATATTTAGCACAAGAGAACATGTCAACTAAAATTGAACATCTTCTATCCAATCGAATACATTTATATTTGAAACAAACAATACGAAAAGAAAATATTGAGATTTCATTAAATAGTGATTACAAATATTTTGAAGAAAATTTGATACAATTGCAATCTATATTAAATCAAAAACAACGATCTCATGTAAAAGTGCTTTGTTTAATATCATGGCTAAAATTCTATGCCGAGATGTATTCCTTTGCACTGATTATGGTACAATCACAACATGATATTATGCAACAGATAGACCGTTTATTATCAAATAATAATTCTAAAGTATGTGCATCAATTAAAATATTTATTATTAAACAGATGATATATTTTGCTAATATTTCACTGGAAGAATTGAAACAAACCCTATTAAATCGAAATATTGTTTGGATTAAACCAATATTGTTACAACAATCAAATACTCATGGAAAAGAACAAAATAACTTTATATTGCCAACGCCATTATTTGAATGTAAAACTGAATATATTCAGGTTAATCAACTATTTAAACAATTTAAAGAAATCAAACAATTAGAAAATTTAATAACAAAATGTCAAACAGACAAAAATTTAACGTATAGTTTCTATTTATGGTTTATACGATATTATACACGATTTCATAGAATAAAAAATGTCTCGATAGATATTAGTTTTGTTCAAATGATTGAAAATCAACTTCAACAACAATTAATCTCAAATTTTGAACCTATTGGATATCAGTTTATTCTGCAACTGTGCAAAAATTTTGATAATCAATCATATTTTCAATTGAAGGCAGATATGACAGATATTGATATACATATTCGTCTTGTTGCATTAAATATATTTGCATTACAATTGGCTTCGAAATGTACAAAAAATTCAACAGTTATGAATAGTCTTTTATTTGATATTGATCATAAAATGCCAAAAGACTATGCGAAGCATTTAATGACTAGATGTTTGGTAGGTTTACAACCAAATAATAATCATATTATGATACAAATGCAACGTGTTAAAAATGAAGTACAAAAAAGATTAAATAACCGTGAAATAAATGAATATGGAAAATTCATATATCAATGTTCTAAAAATTGTTATTTTATGTATTATTTTGAAAATTGTGGAAGACCAAACGATCGTTCTAAGTGTCCGTTGTGTAAAAATGATGTTGGATCTGTCAAACGTGGATCTAGTCAATTGTTAGTACGAGATCCACCACAAATACAACTATCAATTACTAGTGGATTTCAATTAATTGATGATTATATAAAACATTATAATGAAACAAATCGATATGGTTATTACATCAATCCAACACAGACTGATAATTCTACTGTTAATGAAACAAATGAACATTTACAACCGATAACCTATCGATTATTACATATGTTTACTCATACATTAATAATGATGTTATATGATCTGAAATGTTTACAATCAATACGTGATAAAGCTGATCTACAAGTAAATTATTTTCGAAAACATTATCAAAAAGACTATGAGTTAATTAATATTATGATTGGACAACAAAATGAATGTCATATATGGTTGTATAAAATTTTTAATCATTTATCTAGTTTTAATATTGAAGGTATATTAGATACAAATAAGAAAGTTGTTGATTTTGAAAAACATATCGAACAAAACATTATATTACCACATATTCAATCGCTGTCTGATGAAATTAAACAATATAATTTAGCTTACAGTGAATTTATACGTGAACATAATGCACAACCACAATTAATCGACTATATAAATGAACTAGTTGAAAATGAGCAAGAATATCCATTGCTAAATTTTTTGACTATAACCAGAAGTAATAACGATATTGTTAAGGAATTTCGTTCAAAATTTTATTTACTACAATATGAAAAATTATATCCAATAACAGATTATTTTTTAAAACATTTATCAGAATTAGAACAAATAGAATATATGCATCCAATTATTAACTTTACCAATTATTTATTACAAAAATATAATCATCGAATATTACGTACTGAAGCATCAACAAAAGAATTAGATTTTTACATTAAAAATGATAGTAACGATAAAAAAATATTTTCACTATTTCAACAATTTCTTCAAGCATGGTACGGATTAAAATTAAATGATGTACAACTTGATTGTGCTCACATTAAAATAGACCGTACACAATCTAGTGAACAATTTTCCAAATCAAGAAAATTAGCATTTTTCTTATTGAATCGATCAACAGATAATAGTAGTTTTGAAATACTTGGCTGTTTACATACATTAGCTAAATTTCAAAATAACATTATTAATTTCTATAAACATATTACTAATCCACAAATACTATATGAGAATACTGAACGAAAACAACCAACAATCGATATACAAAAAATTAAAAAAGAACATTTATTAGTAATATCATCTGAAGTAATTGATACAATATTAAGAGAAGAAAATGGTTATATTATTAATTATGAATATGGTAAAACAAAAGAAATAATTTATGATTATGATGAAATTGAAACTAGATTATGTAATAGAATAAATCGTATACAATCGATTAATACAGAAAATTTCAATTATTTTAATTATCAATTTGAATTATATCATCAAGAAGTGTCATTATTTAATGATATAAGACGAAACATAAAACAGGAGCAAATATCAACCGATGAACAAGCGAAGCTCCAACAATATTTAAGAAATACAAAAATGGATGATGTACGACAATTTTTGGGTTCATTAGATTATGTATTTACATATCTTCGACATGCAACTGACAGGTCATCAACATCAACACTAAAGCAATCTGTTCAAGCTTTAATACACAATACTTCTCATTTACATTCATACATTCTCAATGAACAACAACCATTTGCTAATATTCAATTGAAATATGTTGTAAATTTATATGAACTCATTGAAGAATTAGTATTCGATGAAATAATGAAAAATTATGTTAAACAAGAATTAACTACAGATGTATGCATAAATGAAGAAGAAGAAAAAAATTTTATTGAACAATTCATACATTCAACATATATGTTAGATAATATTTCACAACAATTGAAAGATCCACGCGTATGGTTGTCGGTATTAAAACGTTTAATTATACGTGTTATTACAGCAAATATTGATTTGAATGTTTCCATGCAGATATATATAGTACGAACAGATTTATGGAATGAAGATTTAGTACCATATTTGGATCTTATCAATATTCCTGATAATATTTTGGTACGACATACATATATTATCTTGAAAGGAATCGAAACTAAATTAGCTGTAATAAATAATTCAAATAGTGATACCAAAACTAGTAATGAATCAAAAAATCTTCGCGACTGGTGCCAAACCAAAAATGAAGACATTAATCCATCAACGATATCGATAACAACAGAAATGCCAACAGGAAATATTACAAAAAAGAAGCAACGTCGTGTGGATTAATCATTTCAATTTACAAAACTGATTTTGTTTTGAGACTTGTCTTTTTATTTTAAAAATAAACTCATTTAATCAAGAACATAATCATAAACAGTGTCCGGCATGGGGTGTAGGTGTGAGTGAGGGTGTGGGTATGAGTTGGTGTTGGCGTCTTCCATTGCTTCATCCACACCCTAGAAAAAAGGAATTTGAGTCATTGGCCGTTTTTATAATTGGTAGTAATGTACAAATGCATTCCAAAATACGAATGATAACATGAAGAACCGGTAATAATTGATACAAATGTCAGTAGAAACTCATCGTCTTTTTTTCTGAAAGTAATATGTAAAAATACAGAATCAGCAATGCGACTTTCCACTATTCTTTAAAGATATGCCATTTCAAATTTCGTTTTCTAAGTGATAATTGATAAATTATACTATCAGAAAATGAAAGCAAAAATCTCTATATTTTTTCTTCAAATGACCTCTTGTCACTTTAAGAAACAGACTTTTTTTATGGGTATGAATGTGCATGTGAATAAAAACTGGAATCTTTTGCGTTCTCATATCTCATTAGATGCTGCATACAGGCAAAATTTGATTGAAATCTGCAATATGAATCGAACACATAATTCATGTTTAGGCCGTTTCTATCTTAGAATGACTCATATGTAGTACAAAGCGAACAACTTAAATACCACGACATAGTACGCTGAGTCTTCAACAAAGGAGAATTGTACTGGTATTCATGAATCAGCATGTCTTTTACACGTTTTTTAATTGATACATATGATCTTCAATCGTTATCATATGATATTGTTTTGAAGCGTCATCAAATTTCGATGATCATGTCGAGATTTACAATCTGAAGGACGGACTCAGAAAACTAGAGTACAACTTGTAAGTGATCAAAAGGTATCGAGAACTCCTATGAATTTTGTTTCGCCTTAATAGACAAAACAAATTTGTTCTCTTCTTCTGTCAATAACAGTAGAAAGCTGAATTTTACTTTTGAGATAATGCTCTGCTATGATAAAGTTCGAATGCAAATCGAAGATAATAAAAGATAGTGTAAATCATATGTCCAACTTTCAGAGAAAGTTACGTGGCGGCATATGTGTATTTCTCAAAATTTGCCTACGTGCCGCGATTTATATCATACTTCAGATGCTGTAGAAGAAAGTTAGGATGAGAATTTTGTGGCTGTGACCTAGTTTTGTCGTCTAAAACGAAATCAACATCAACACCCTCATCCACACTCTATTTCATCGCATAGACTTGTAAAGCGTTCAATAGTTTCAAAGTTTTTCTCAAATGATCATTATAGCAGAGCAATCGATGAGTGTCTTTATTGATCTGATCAAATATTGTCGACTGAACACCACGGCTGCATTGAGGTAGTACAGTCATGCTGGACAACAATATCATTAGAGGGTGGGTGTCGATGCCAACATTCTCTTCATTCACACCCACCTACACCATCGTAGCTGCATGAGCTTTGCAAAAAGGTGACGCAAATTATTTCACATACTTCCAGAGTGAAATAGTCCAATTTTAAGTTTAGACAATCAATTAGTAGCTCCTCTAGATTCTTAATGAGTTATTGACCTCAACATTCTATATGAGAAAATGTTGTCTTCAAGTGAAATAAAATTATAAGGTATGGTTCATTTCTTTCAAAACCTAGCTTTTCTTTAAAATACAGCAGTTTTTTTTTGTAATGGTTTCAGTCATCTTTTCGATCGTATGTTGAAACAAGTTAAAATCTTTTCAAATATTCGAAAGCTCAACGGCAAAATCAGAGTTTTTAAGTTTTCATCTCTTCTAAAAAAATAGTGATTCCAATAAAGCATTGAAAGATAAGTGCAAATCTCCCAGCTTTACCTTTTTAGAAAATAGATAAAACAATGTAGCAACAATGTTCATTTTTAAAATTTTGATATAGTGGTTGAATAATCGAGGATACAACATTGTGTTATGCAACGATCTTCTTTTTCCATTATTTCCATTGCGTGAGGAGAGGAATAGATGAGATGAATCCAGTGTATTACTGAATGTCAAAAAACAACAATTGAATCATTCGCTGATGTAAATGAGAGGTTTAATGATTAGAAAATGGTGTGAATTCGTATAGAATGAGCAACTTGAATTTATCGATATTTCTGTCGATCATTGTTTTTCGCATAACGGATAAACAATCGTTCCGGTGCAAACTTTCTGTCTTTTTGCATTCGAAGTAACATAGATTCGAAACACTGTTTGGTCAAGTATAGACCTAGTTCTCTAAAACAATATATGAAAAGAAGCACTTTCACAAAGATTTACACTTTTCAAAAATAATTGATAATTGCATAAGCAATATCTTTTAACAAATACCACTTGGACGAACATCATGACACGTATTGCCTGATTGTGAACTGATTCTTTAATCGACCAGATCAATTTCAATACTCAAACAGTTACACGACTCGACAAATCATAACTATGGTTGATCTCAGAGAGTGAAATATTGACTGATAAAAGTGAAGGTTCTTGTAATATTCAATCAAACGTTTGATTAAAAATTTTGTCAGTTCTGTAAATTTCTGTAGACACAAATAGGCAAGCCGAACGTATTAGAATTGGTCCATATGTTACACAATTACACAGTCAACAGCTGACGACAACATTAGAATGAGAAGCAATGGTGAAAAAAAGAATACGATTCATGTCCCATTATTGTCTCACAATAAGGCGTCACAATGCTATTCACATTGTGCATTAATTTACTAGTGCATGAATTGATTCCAAAAGTCACATGTGATTCTATTAAAGTTAAATAATGCAAATGTGAGTTGCACATTATCTGCCAACCGATGAAAATATACATACTGAGAAGAGTATCTGAAGTTCTTATGAAATGACTGAAGCAACTTCAGTACACCTCTGTCGATAAGGTAAAAATTAAAGCTAAGTATGATGGTTTAATTTTGTTAGATTTAAACAGAATGCAAGATTTCATGTCTCCCTACAACTATCTTTCACGTTTTACAATCGATCATTAGAATCTTTCTTCGATTAGTTCAGTAGGAAAACATTTCAAAAATCAAAGTGACTCAATTAAAAAACTGCGTCGACAGTCAGATGTAACATCTTCTATAATCTAGTAAATAGTGACTCTTCACATTTGATACATCATAGTTTTCAGTTATTCAAAAATCTTACAATAATTTTTTAATCTCTATGGTATCGCTGAATTTAATTTTCTCACGTAGATGATACCATAGAGAACACAATACATTAATGAAATAAATATCAGTTGATGTTAACTGTACCTAAGGGTATTTTCATCAGACAAAAAAAATCGATCATAAACCATGAAACAACTAGATTTTGCATGATACAATTGCGAGTTTCCATTGAGATAAGAATTAATCGTTTTGAAACTTAAAAGTACCATTTTCTAAAATTCTGATTAACCATGCAGTCGATCTATTTGAGAGTTGGTTTTGAAAAGGACTTGATACTAATGTGCAGACTGCCGATTCTTTAATATCTTCAGTTGAAAAGATGGTCACAGAACAGAATAGACAAAAAAAAGAACGCACGAAGAGAAGAAACAAAAAAAAATCAATAAGAAATTTAACAGAAAGGAAAGAACATATGACATCTATGATCAAAAGCAATAGTACACGGCCTTGAAGTTATATTTTTTTCTTCCTTTTCTAGAATGTAATAAAAAAAATGAGACTATCCTTTTACTGCTACTAGGTAATTATGAACTAAAAATAATGGAGCGTGATGAGTTACAACAAGATAGCATTCTCAATATACTGAAAATACACAATTCAAAAAGTTGTGCGACAAAATGACTAAAAGCAGGATTTTTCAAAGCTTGTCTACACGACAAAAGTGCTCACATTGCAACAATAGTAAAATGTGGAGTGCAAATTATGAGTTTGAAACTCATGTAGTTTAAGACTCACTTGTCGAGACGATCTTACTCTAAACTAGCATGATTATTCAATATTTCAATTGTTCCCTTTAAAAATATTGTCGTGAGATAAAACACATTAAAAGCGCTCGAATGACAATTCATATTTAGTCGAAACTCTCGTTGGAAGACAATTTTGATAAAATTCAATGAGTCTTATGATTATGATATGACAACAGTACTCTATGAAAGTTAAACTTGAAATTAACAGATATATCTTTTGGAAGCCAAATTCGATTTCCAAACAGCATTGGGTTCTGTTTGCTTATGTTGTTTTTAACAAAGAAAATCCTTGTTTGTAGACACAGAAGAATTCAGAGTAAACATTTTCAGCCAGATCATTTGGTGTACTCAACGATATAAATAAACTCTGTTCGTATGAATACCCATCATGACGGTCTCTCAGCATTATTAGTATGGAGTCAGGTAGTAGGCCGATTCGTTGAAGTGATCTAGAAAAGTGACTGCTGTATGTTTTGATCAAATTTTCAGTAAAGAACTTTTATTCGACCACATATGGTACCTTAGCATGAGTATTGTCTCATTTAAATTCTATCATAAATGGAACGGATTCGAGTTTGTAACGCAGAGATATTTGTCTCTACAGGATAAGACTGTTTGAATTTAATTTAAAAATAAATATTCTATCGTAGTGTTTCCTCAAAACCGTATTAGGTTTACATTTCAAAAGAAGCGTCAAAACTCCATTTAGTCTTCTCTTCAATAATTCAAGGGACCATATATTTCGCAAGCTGATTATTCGATGATGTAGAATTATTATAACGTGAATAAAATTTAAATTGGACATCTTTTAACGTTTGACTCGAATGCAAAACAGGTAGATGGCCAAGTGATAAAAAAGAAAAGAATCCATATTGAAAATATACAGCGTGACTGATGGCATTGTTCACCGAAATCTTCGGTTATCTTTTAATCAGATAGACTCGACGAAGAAAAATCTGAATTCTGATGTATAACATTTAAAGTCCTGCAGCTCTACTCCACCGTATGTAAGATTAGGGTATGACTCTTATACGTTAGAGTAAACCAGAATACGACCTCAAAATGGTAGGGTAGGTATTGGCATTAGAATTCAGTAACCCTATTTACTGAAAGTGTGAAAATTTAAGTCCCGTTACACATAAAATGTCTTACCATGGAAAGGTTGGTACTGTTGAGCGAAACGATTGACCTTATTTGCAGTTGAATGAAAGCTTTCACCGCCAAACTAACAAATTAAAAGTATGATGTGCTTATAGCGTACCTAGAGTACGTTACTTAAATTTTAAGGCACGTGAAATTTAGCTATAAAAATGAATTAGGAAAGGTTGTCTCCACTATTGTAAGAACAAAACGTGCTATTATTTGTGCCAACATAGGAGTTATCACATGTTGTCTTTCATATCGTCCAAACAATCCTATGTTTCATCTTTACCATAAAGGACGGTTATTTTTTTCCTATTGTTAGGGCAACATATAGGATTGTTCGGGCCATATGAAAGAAAACCTTTGATGACCTTGATACTGGACCGAGCAACCCCATGTTTTGCCCTTACAATGGTGGAAAATATGCACACTGCATTTTGGTTGGCTAAGAGCTTTGTATCAGTAAATCAGAATCAAGCACGCATGTTTTCCACGATTGTGAGAGCAAAACATGGGGTTGCTCGGTCCCATATAAAGGTCATCAAAGATCCTCTTTCATATGGTCCGAACAATCCTATATGTTGTCCTTACAATAGGAAAAAAATAACGATCCTCTATTGTAAAGGTGAAACATAGGATTGTTGGGGCGATATGAAAGACAACCTGTGATAACTCCTATGTTGGCACAAACAATACCACGTTTTGTTCCTACCATAGTGGAGACAATCTTTCCTAATTCATTCTTACAGCTAAATTTCGCATACCTTGAAATTTAAGTAACGTGCTCTAGGTACGCTCTAAGCATGTCCTCTATTAAATTTGTTAGTTTGGTGGTGAGAGCTTTCATTCAACCCTAATAAGGTTAATCTTTTCACTTAACAGTACAAACCCTTCCATTGATAGTAAGCTGAAGCAATCAACACCTGAGCTGTCTTGTATTTTCATTGAAATTTATCCTTATTCATTCTATTATATCCGTCAGGTATCAATGAAAATAAGGTTAGAGTGTGGCGCTGATCGTTAAATATATCAATCGTAGTGGTTTATTCTCAGTGATCTCGACTATATGCAATCGCCTATGAATAAGGATAATCATTCAAATGAAGTGATTTGTATACTTTTGATTCATCATTATTTTCCAATGGCGTTTCATCTTGTAATCGAACTTCAATTATTCATATCTTGCAATAGAAAAGCAAGTACAAGTCAGCTTTGTACTTAGCCAGATGATTGTATTGTGAAATGGCAGATATGTCGTGCCGAATATGAGCAAGGATAAGTTGAAAAAATGGAACTGAGTTTAATTAGGACATTCTTGCAGACATTATGACAGCATGTGAGGGCTAAATGATTCGTCTTATTTTTAGATTTCGTATTACTATTTAGTAGAATGTTTTACGATTCGGCTTCACAACTAGTACATCGTGATAACAATGGTAATACGAAGACTATTTCTTGATAGATTTACTATTCTTTAATGTGTTTAGAAATGCACGATCAAGATCGAATTTCAATGGAAACAGAAAGTAATAATATTTTATTACAAACGATACCAGAACTATTCGATCCTTCTGTGAGGAAGACCTGATTCCTACATTTCATTTGGCTTTTTTTTATCGCTAGTACTTATTACTGTTTATACCAAGCACCACTGTGCTTGCAATTCGTTTCGCTTTTGATATTTTCAATTGAAATTATGCATAGATATAGTAATAGAATATCAAATAGTTTTTAGTAAACTGTGGATGTCATGTTCAGAGTATTCAATACACTATATTCATACTCTTACACACACACAGCTTTCAAAGAAACGATATAACTTAAGTGATAACTATTACAACTAAATTGACTAATTTGCTTCATTGTAGGCGGCAAAGAAAGTGTTTGGAAAGTGGAAACTATCAACATTGTTCGAAGTTGATGTGCCTGATATGTATATTATTGAAAATGTCTAGGCCATTTTTGAGGAATTGGATCAACTCACGAAAGAGTTTGCCATATATTTAGCAAACAGTATCAAAAACAGACTTGACAATGCGTTTTCACGGTGCTTTAGAAAGCGCTTTTGTCTTGTTTTTTGACGAAAGAAATGAAAATCACGAGAGTTACACCGAGTCTTTGAAAACTGTGTGTATACCAGTGTGAATAAAGTGTATTAAATATACTGAACACCACATAAAAACTTCACTTTGATATATCGGATATTCTAGGTAATGGAGAATTTTTAGTATATCTAACACAAAAAATGGCGAAAACTTTGTTGAACCATCAATTCTTTTACTTGAAGAAGCAGTAGCAAGTATTTCATATGGAAATAATCCTTATCAATGATAGGATTTTAATCGCTGCATAGCTGCACATTTAGCTGAGCTCTCATTTGATCAGAATTCGAACAATGATTCCAATATATATCTGAAAGCTACATTCAAATCTGTTTTAAGTATAATCAGCAAGCATAAAAAGCTAGCTTCTCTGAACTTTAGACTGTACGAATCATTCTAATTATAGAAAAACTAACATGTTCGGTGAATGTAGAAATGATTGTAACTCTCTGAAGAATAGTTTAAAATCAATGAAATTGAGAGGATTTATTGCTGAAGATTAGATCTGCCCGATGGTATGAAAGAAGAAAAAAATATCATCACTTTCTTGAGGCAATGATTTTGTAGAATGACTTCAACAATAAACTTGACTTATCGCTAGAAGAATGCAATCAAATAAGTTGACATTTTTAAACATTATTTCAAGTGAAAAAGTCGAAAGCGAAATAAATAGCAGAGATGGTGATATTTTTAGTTCGTACTGTGACTTGCCTACTTATAGGAAAGGAAATCTGTCAATATACTAAGCAGTCTTGTCCAAACAGTGTACATCTCGAAGTTTTTATGAAAAACACTGTTCTCATTTTTCAAATATTCTCCGTTATTTCTGAAGTGTAGTTTCAGTCAGGAAATATGTCACTATCTAATTTTATCAAGAGAACATCTTTCATACAATCATATTAATATCGCATGAACAAAAAAAATATTTTCAAACATCATATGTCAAACTTCAATTTCATACTCAAAATGACTCTAAAAATAAAGAAAAATGGCGTCGCAGAGAACTTCTTTCTTTTATAAAATGGAATCAAAAGATTGCGATGTATTCCAACTGTATACCCCATTGAGTCAGTTAGCATGGGTGTAACAAAGTGGTTTGGTACCATTAAATAGTTATTGATATATATGAAATAGAAGTTCGCGAGAATAATGAAGAGAAAATCATCGTCTTGTTCTGTATTCGAAAATGATTTCATAAGAATAGGACATGTTAATGTCACAACGACAATCTATACGAAGAATCTTTTACACTGATTTTGAATCAAAGATTAATGACTTGAATAGAAAAAGAAATATACCAGTTGCAATGCGCTCTCTCTCTTTTTTGTTATATGCAATTCAACATGATTGAAATCGAAAGTTGCAATGAGTCAATCGATTTCATTATACGGTTCCATTCATTGCAACAGAAAATTGTATTATTTAAACTGTGCAGTATAACAAAATGGTCGTTGAAAAAAATGAAGTCTTTATATATGGATTGGTTTTAATATATATAAATAATTTCCTTTTTAGACGAATCTCTGAACGATCAAATCACTGAAAACGAAATCGATTTGCAACCATTAATTAGCAGTACTAGAACAGACTCAATACAACCTAATACTGGAGAAGATGACACAAGGGACAATGAAAGAAATGGATCTACAATAAAGAGCAGAAGAAAGTGTGTTAAAAAATGTTGTTTGCTCAGTATGATCTTAATTTTGATTATTACCGGTGGTATGTTAATATTCGTCATCATCAGAACAAGAATCAAAACGTATCAACAAGAGTCAAAACATATTCGAACTTCGATAGGTAATCATCTCATACGTAGATGTCATAGTTGCAATAGTTTAATCAACTTCCGACAGTTGTCTCGTGATATTAATTAGATTTTCTTTTAAATATGAATTTAATAAATAAACGTAAAACACGTTTACTAAGTACGAAAACTTGTCACTTTTTTTTATAGATTCACTATGGAATACAACATCTATAAGCAAAACGACTGCAAAGAAAGTTTTATTTATTATTGCCGATGGTATTCCTGCAGATGTTATAGAAGATGTTCCGGTTACCAATATTAATAAGATTCGAAAAACTGGTTCCTATACAAGAGCCTACGTTGGAGGTGACAATGGTACTTACACTGAAACGCCCACCATTTCGGCACCCTGTTATATGAATCTACTTACCGGTACGTGGTACAATAAACACAATGTATTCAATAATAATAGCACACATCCAAATTATCACTATAGAAATATATTTCGACTACTTAAAGAAGAGCAACCTGATAAAAAGATTGCCATCTTCTCACAATGGATAATTAATCGTGTCAAGCTCGTCGGTGAAGGATTACCAGAGGCCGGTAATATAATGTTTGATTACAAATTCGACGGATATGACTTAGATGAAGTCGCTTATCCCCATGATCCAGAAGAAATATATATCTATAATATTGATCGTCGCGTAACTCATGAAACCTCAAAATGTGTCAAAAAAAATGGACCTGATCTCTCTTGGGTTTATTTAGATAATACAGATGCGATAGGACATCGTTTTGGCGACAGTGAACAACTCATTCAATCAGTCGTTAATTTTGATAATGAAGTAGGACAAATTTGGGCAGCCATAAAGTACCGAATAAAATATTATAAAGAAGATTGGTTATTCATTATCACAACAGATCATGGTAGGGATTCAATAACAGGCAAAAACCATGGCAATCAGTCGATGAGAGAACGAACAACTTGGATAGTGACCAACATAAATCAGACTAATAGTTATTTTCGTGATTTTGAACCTGCTATAGTTGACATATTACCAACTATTGCAAGATTTGTAAATCTCACTGTTCCACTTGAAACTCAACGAGAACTAGATGGAGTGCCGTTGATAGGAAAAGTGTCATTAATTAAACCTGACGCCAGTTTAAATGGTGACACTTTAAGAGTTCAATGGAAAGCTTTAGATTCTACAGGAAATGTTAAAGTATGGCTTTCAACCACAAACTTATATAAGAATGGTATGACAGATGATTACAAATTAGTCAAAACAATACAGATAGACAAAGAAGAAGCTATAATTGACATTAAACCGTATGTATCAAAATTCTATAAAATTGTGCTAGAAGGTCAATATAATATGGTAAACAAATGGGTATTTAGACCATGAGGCTACTGTTCTGGTATTACGTTTTTCAACATACGAAAATTTTATACATATGGTGCACTGTGCGTATTATAATATTGTTTCGTTTGCCACCATTTTCTGAAATTTTCTCTCGTTCTCTTGATATACATGTATATGTATCTTTTTGCTTCTCTGTCTGTTTTTTTCCTTTATGTCATGTTAAATATTTAAAAATATTGTGCTTGTGCTCGCATAATGTAGCTACCTCTTTGCAGCGATGCACAGTGGACAGCTTTAATGAAACAGACGGGTATGTAGCTTTTCTGCTCTGAAATGAGTTTCCATTAATCAGAAGTGTTTGTATGTCACTCTGAAAATCGACTTTACGAAAATAAGGCATTTTTTCAAAAAAAAAAACAATTTCGTGGTGAAACACCTGAGGAAGACTCTTGTTCAGATTTTCGCAAAAACTTTTTTCGTCAGAAAATGTTTTGTATCTAACATCATCCGGCACAGTTTTGCGCCACAATGCTATCGTAATCGGAAAAATAAGGAGTTCGGGGCAAAGATCAACAGATGTAGAAAAATTGAAAAATTGACTGAATCCGATTGTATATATTCGATCTATGTTGATTCGACAATTATAGGTAGCGTTTCTAACAGAAATCTAAAACAGAGTACAAATGAGTACGTTATTTCTATTCACCATGTATCTATTGATACTTTGTTTTTTAGAGCAAAGTACCATGGCTAAAAGTTGATTCGAGGAAAACAAAGACAGAATAATCATGTCAGCATTATCATTAGTTTCATCTTTTAATTCAAAAAAACGTTCTTGTTCAAAAACAACAACAGAACAAGATCAATATAAAAAAAAATATGTAGATCTGAAAGTGGAATTAGAAATATCGATCATGAATATCATGAGTTCGTTTCGAATAAACTATAGAAGAAAAATTTCTTAGCTTTATCTTCAAGTAAAACACAATACACACAAGAAGAGGCGAGCAACTTTTACATAATGGTGAAAAATTAACAAAGTGTATTTTTATTTTACAAAGTATCCTCAAGATACTTCGTTTTTTTTCTGCAAAGTACAAAACACAGTACTTTTCAAAAATCGTAAGTATATTGGGTATTTTGCTTTTACTTGTGATACTCCATGTTAGAAACACTGTTCATAGGAGCTACCTCGGTATTAAATGATTCAATGCGATTACAACATGTTGTATGGCTAGATTCACTCTGGTGCAAATCGTTCTCATAACGGATCAATTGCAGCAAAAAGCCGTCATTCGGTTCAGCTAAGCGTCGTCGTTCTGTCAGGTAATCATAAGCTGCATCTAATGTCAAGGGGGAAAAAGCGGATCCCGGGATCCAATGGGATCCATCGGGATCCAGTGGAATCCAGTGGGATCCAGCGGGATCCATTTGGATTCAATGTGATCCATTAGCTTCCATCAGGACACGCATGCAGTGAGACGAAGACTATCTGCCTGAGCGGTTTCCATCTGTTACTTTGGGTCTCGACTGAAATACTCATGTTTCGCTACCTTTCAGCATCAAGCAAGATCGAATATAAAATAGAATAAGACCTAACGGTTATTGAACATAGGGTCA